CCTGGACAGCTCCAGAACATTATCTGTTGAAAAATGTAGACTCCTGGGCTCTCTGTCAGGACAACAGAATCAGAACCTCTGGTAGGTGTGGTCAGAATCCGAATTGCCAATGACTTCTCTCAAGAGGATTTTTATGCATCTTTCAAGTGAAAAATCACCTAGGAAGACAAGAACTCAAGACAAATGTCTCTATTTTTCCTTTTCCCAACATTTTATACAGACTATTTTAGGTCAGAATGATTATCAAGTGCACCCTCAATAGGTCAAAAAAGGTTTTAAAAGGCAGCATCCTAACTGCTTAGAAATAGGTATTTGGCTTTGGTTGGGGAATGAAGGTAAGTGGCAAAGGACAGCTGTGACCTAGTTGAAATCTTTTCTCCTTCTCTCCCCCCAGAAAGTTAACCCCAAGTGCAGGCATTCTGTTTCACCCCTTCCTAAGACTGGCTCTGGGCAGAAAAAAAGAAACTCACAAATTTTCATGATTCAAAATGGATGAACATCATGTGTCCAAGGATGATACTGCTCATCTAGGCATTAGACAAAAAAAAAAAAAAAAAAAAGTCCTAATCTCCTACTTTATAGCAATGATTAAGAGAAAATTGATTCAAAACAGTTTGGAAATGCTGATGGGGGGAGGGAGAGAGAGAGAACTGATGATTTAATAAACCTGGACACATGAAAAGAATTGCATAAATTCTGTGTGGTAGTAAAGGGAGAGAATAAGGACTCTGGTGCCAGAGTGCCTGGGTTCAAATTAGAGCTAGACTGTCACTAATTGGGTGACCTTGACCTTATTTAACATTTTTTTTTGCCCCAGTGCCCTCATCTCTACAATGAGACAACAATATCTACCCCATAAAATTGTTGTGAGGACTAAATGAGTTGCTAGACATGTAAGTTTCCAATAGTTAAAAGTGAAAATCTTTTTGTAAATCAAGATGGTCCCAAAAGGTTGCATTGTCTAAACCTTACAGTTTATAAGCCTTAAAGAAGGTTAAATTACGAAATTAGAAAACCTTTCAAATCTAAATCAAGAAGTTCTAAAAAGTCACATTCCCAATATCTTGTTTTATTTGCCAGAATTCTTTGATTGCTCTCTCACACTTTTAAAATCCGGATGGAGGAATTATCAATAATAAAGGGAATGGTAATCTACCTCTCAAATTCCTTCTCTTGCATCTCCAAGTTCTTGATTATAATTGGTTATAATTTGTAGACCTTGATTATTTACCATTGTTAGTTCACAATTGTATACCCACAGTTCTGTGCTTCCATTATTGAAAAAATTCACAAAGAAATGCCAAATTAAAAAAATACTGTTGTCTACCTATACATCCATTGAGTACTAGGTTTCAAAAAAAATGGTTAGTGTCTGAATTCCTTTTCAACATCCTTTAGAGAAAAAAAGTATAAAACAAAGTAAAAAATTTCTTATAGACAACTTTTTCAAATTTATGAAAAGTTAACAGTCTCCATTTCAGCAACCACCTTTACCAATGAGAAGGTGGATTTTTACTGCCAGAACAGGAAGTCTAAGGTTTATTTATTGCAAGTCCTGGCAAAAAATATTTTCCTGAAGAGAAAGTTCTTAACATGAGATTGATACTTCTTATTGAAACATCCACTTTACACTTCAAAAATCAGATATACAGTATAAAACCATTATCTAATTGGTTCCTCCAACTCTTTTTTTGAGGATCTCTGGTACCAAGTTAATCAAGTTTATAAAAGTCCAAAGGCAATTTTTAGGAAATTATAGCTAATGGTATTCCCACAACTCTGACCAAATTATCAGGTTTATGGTATTATGGAATGATAATCCATTTTGTAATAGTCAATGATATTAGCTCCAGAATTCTCAATAATCTAACGCAATATGCTGTGATTTAGAATAATTTTAATTTGTATGATGCTATTAAAGTTTAGTTTAAGGGAACAAAAACACAGTAACACATTATGAAGTATTGACTGATGGAAGTTCTGCTAGCAACTGACCAGAAGAAGAGCTGGGTATGTCATGGCGCAGGAATGTCTATGGCCCGCTTTCCTTTACCTGAGCCAGGCCCCTTGTTCTTTATACTAGTATTATAATAATCGTTTCCATAGAAGGGGAGGTCATTTAATTAGTTTTTTTTTCTCTTTACGTTTATGTGCTGTTACTTTATACTTGTAGGTCAGGCTGTCACTGTATCAGATAAAATTATTATGATACAAGGAAAATTATTTATTTTGATATTTATTGAGTGCTTGTTGCATTGGAGGGATTATGTTAACCTTTTTAAAAATAATTTTTTAAGTTGAGCAAAGTTAGGAATTAACATTTATTTATATAAAATTTTATATTTGGAAGTTGACATCCAACATGATAACATATCATGAAAAAGAGGCCACACTGGGAAACGGAAAAGGCAACAAATTTTACATGTGTTTGCTATTTGATAATAGCTGACATAAATAGTTTAAAATCATTGTTGGGTTTATTATTTTTAATGGCACGAAGAATAACTGCTCAAAATATCTTCATTTTCTTGTTTCAACAACGAATGGCAATATATTTTGGTATATGAGACCTAGCGCATGAGCTTCAGATCCGATTAAGTATATCAAGTTTACACAAAGCCAAATGTATGAAAGGGGATCTTTTAAAAAAAACTTTATTTGAGAAAGGAAGAGACTTATAACAGAAGGCAAGAAGGAAACATACAAACAATATATTTACAACACAAAACAAGAGATCACCTTCAAGGGTGTAAATTATAATAAATACAGTAGATTTGAAAAGAGACATTTATCAATTAATTCTAAGATGAATTAAGTCCAGCTTTCTTTTTCACTGGTTCCAGGTAGTTTCTTGATTAAATTCAAAGACTATCAAATTCAAACAATTAATGTCCACCAACTGTACTGATGAAGCTCTCTCAAATGACATTATAAAAAATAGGTTTTTTTTGTTTGTGATTACATATCTTTGAAGTAATATTATACAAAAGTCTGCTCAGCCACATGTTCCTCCCCAAATAAAATGTATTTTAAAAGATGCACTATCCCTTTTTTATGAGATTGAAAAAAGACTTTAAAGAAAATGAATATTTATGAGATGGAAAAAATATACAATTTTATCTTAGGAATGCCATATTTTTAATGCAAAACAACTGACAAAAAGTCATTTTAATCTTAAGGAATATACTAACCAAAATACGGTGGTAATAGGAAAAGTTGCCCTATTATAGCTATTTGTCAAATTAACAGAAGGACTTTCATTATATGGAAAAGTTTTAAACTTTCTAACTTCTAGTTATATTAATTTAATTTGAATGGAGACTTTTTAAAAAAGGATAATGTATCTTTAGCAGTGACCTTTTTTTAAGAAATATTTTTAAATGTCACAGCAAAATGTAAACAACACGTGCCAATAACATACAGTTGTTACAATGTCTACATTTGGCAAAATCGCTATATCTCCTTTGAAACAGGATACTACACCTTAAAATACCTTGGATTTAGAAATATAAATATTTTAATAGAAAAAAACCTCACAAAGATTCTAGGTCAATTTGGATTATCCATATTAAAGGGGTCTTAATACAAGGAATCTTTAACTAGCTTAACAAAAGTAAACCTATAAAACAAGGTAAACATATCAAAAGGGAGTATGAAGGAAATGTTCCAGTGAAAAGCTTCCTTAACAATTTCCCTACTTGCGGTGTTATTTTCTTAGACAATAAATCAATTCATAGAGTGCCCTTTAAAAACAGAAAGAGTAAAACACTATCCTCCTTTTTTTTTTTCCCCTACATTCCTCGTTACATGAATCACTTGGACTTCCTGTTTCCACAAGGCATTTCCTGTTCAGCCTCATAGAATCAGTTTTCTGTAGGAGAACAGCAGGAACCTGACAAAGAACGGACTTAAATAAACAGAGTCTTCTGTTGCCTTCAAAGTTGTTTGCATTTCATAGCATCAAAGGACACAGTCCTTCTGAAGGTGCATTATATACAAGTAGATTCTGTTGTTGAGCCTAACTTTCCTAAGTTCTTATTTGCCAAAACGAGTCATTATGGAATTCTACCTAAGAGATCCTAATGATAGGATTATAGAATATGATGCACCTTCTTCTTTTAAACGTGACTGGGACTTCGTATCAGATAATCATCATACCATTACTGTGTTTTCTACAACTGTAGATAGCATATAGTATCTGTTTGGACCATAATGCTGCACATTACTTCTGGCCGGTATCTGCATCGGCTTCGTTTGATCTTTTTCAATAGACAGTGTCATCAAATAACACAAGATAAAAGTAAAATGAGCAGTGCTAGGTGAGACATAATGTAATATTTAAAATAGTGCTGTACTTTGCAATCTATATATTTAAAACCACCTCTATTCCTAATATTTTCAATTGCAATCTATACAATAACCTAAGGACTGTTGGCGTGGTAACCAGAACATTTAACTTAACAAAAAGAGAGAGGAAGGAAGGGGCAGACTACCTTTAACAGTGTTCAAGACTGTAGTATGATACATTATGTACAACAATGTGAAAATTGAATTCTACATATCAAAAAAAAAATCAAGAACTAATAGAATGTTTCATTGATCAGACTGGGTGACTATATCCAGCAGTCGCTGATCTCAACAGATAAACTAAAAACAACAGTGAGTTCATTTTCCTTAGAAGTAATTGGTGTAGCAGGCTTTGAGATGAATTTAAAGCCTATTAATTACTTGTATACTTATGTAGTATAATTTTAGTGTAACAAGTATTTCCTTACCAGTGGAGTTTCAATGAAACCTTGATATCTATATAGAAATCAGTATATAGAGAAATCTCTATATAGATATATCTGCATTAAGTAGAATCCTTAACCACTAAAATCAAATCATTCAGAAATATAAACAGATAGGAAATAATATCCATTTACCAAAACCAGCAATGCATCTCATATTCAGATAATGACTTTAATTACAAATCCTGGAGCTAAATCTTTGCCTATTACCTGTTGCATAAAAGCAGCCTGCTCCCCAGATTCCATTTCCTGGATCTGAGCATCTTCATCACTGTCCACCGGCTCCTCCTTGACCTTCACTGCCCCAACTTGTCCCAGTGTGTCATCCACACAAGCACTGCTGTCGCTCCTAGTGCTGTTGCCACTAGAGGGCGCTCTGTCTTCCTGCATCGCCTGGTCCCCCTGAAGCTCTTCCTCTGCTTCCTCCAGGTGACTGCCTGGTTGCTTCAGTTGTTCAATAGATTTCGAAAGCAGCTAGAAGAGAGTGTTCAGGGGTTCAAAATTCAATAGTTTTTGGTGGTAACAGAGAAGCAAAATACACTTTTATTTCTAATGACTCTACTTCAGTACGGTTTGGTTTCTAGTTTCTGGATGTCAATTGCAGAATGAATTTGTATACCACAAACTTCTCAGTGATACCACATCTGAAGCAGTCCCATCCTTGCCGTATTGTGTTGGAGTGGGAGGCAGAGAACGGGGTCTCTGAGTGCTTTTTTTCAGGGATTACTCTTGAACGCACTCAGAAAATGGTGGGGAAAAGGTAAAAAAGCGTTTTCAATGGGAACCATGGAACTTTTACAAGTAGTTTGTACTGAGACAATTTAACCCAAATAAACCTGAGAATATTTTCTCTCAAAGGAGAAAATGTAATGGAATTAATGAAAAACTTCCACAATCTCATTTTTTGACAAATGTCAATCGCTGTAAAATACGAGCACAAATGCTAAGGCCTCGCCTATCTAATTTTCCGATACCTTGAATGGTCAAATGATAAAACATCTTCTTATATATACCGGTAAAACACGGAAATATTGATTCTGAAATCCTAAACTTTTAAAAGATGTGGGATTTAAAAAAAATTGTCATAGCACTAGAAATGTTTTATGAACATATCCAAATGAAATGATAGCAAAGAAGGAATTATTTTTCATTTGAAAGCTATTATTTAGACCTTTTCTTTATTTTATAAATTAAATTGGACTTTATCTTCAGAAGTATATGAATTAACTGCTCAATGATTTAAAAAAAAACGAGAACAGATTTAACTTAAACAACAGCAAAATATCATGGTATAAGAGCTCAGTAAACGGGGTAAAATTCTCAAGATGATTTCGTGTCACAGCAGATCTCTTGTTTTGATTCACAATGACCCCAGTGACGGATCATCGGCAGAGCTTGAGCTGTGGTTCCAAAAGCGACTGGAGTTTTCTGTTAAGTCAGTGCCCATGTAAGCAACATGCCAAATATTGTTAATGCACAGCACACTTAGAATACAACCGCTAAAATCATGAATACCAATTTCTCTTGGTGCAGTTAAGCTTACCTCGCCCACACACCCATGTTTTTAAGACTGAACACATGCTTAGACTTAGAATATTTAAGTACTCCAACTCTGAAGGGTGTTTTCCCCTTTTTTAGGCTTACAGACTTCCAGGTCACATAACCTCAGATGGCTGTGCATACACTGACGAAACCCTTCAATTTCACGGTCGGTAAAATTATTGGGGGTTTTCGTTCATTTGTGCAACAAATATTTATAGAGTGTCAACTGTGTTCAAGACACCATGCTAAGCATTGGGAAAACAGCCATCACCTTGCCCTCATAGAGCTTAGAGTTTAGTGTGTTAGAAAGGAACCAAGAAGATAAATAAATTTATTCTTATTTTCAAGTATGGTAAATGAAATGGGCAGAAGCACAGGGTGTTGTAAGAGTACCCACTAGTTGGCACAGGAGTGGAACTGGGGGTGCTTAAGGGAGCTTTCACTGAGAGGGTGCTATGTTTAAGCTGAGACAAGAAAGAGGAAGGATAGAAAAGGAGGAGACATTAGTTACATGTGTGTGAGGGGTTGAATAAGGGTAGAGAGCATTTCTGGCCAAAGGCACAGTATATGCGCTGGAAAAGGGAGTCCAGTGTGTTGGAGTACATGAAAGGCCAGTGGGGTTTGAGCACAAGAAGGTGGGGAGAATGCTAGAAGATGATGTTGGAGAGAGTGACACAGTTTATAATATAACATGTTTGGGTTGAAAATAAGATTCTAAAGAAATAAAACACAATGTAGGAAAAACCATAAATAAAATGTAATCACCAATCTTAAATTAGACATAATCAAGCTAAGAGAATATATATCAAACTTTATGTCAAAATGAAGAAGGCAAATTTAAATATTAATTTCCTTTGTGCTTACAATCTAACATCTATTGTTCCTGGGCTGTGAGCATAAGAACAATCAACCCACCATGCTTTAAATGTCTCTAAGTACTTCTTAGGGAACTATTTGCAGGACTTTTGTACCAATGCTAATTAGCTCTTCATAACATAAATACATTATACCTTGCACACTGCTGAGATTTTGGAGAAAAGAGACAATGTAATATTCCTGAACTTTGATTATACAACTGTAGGATCCCATCTAATTAGCTGTTAGAAAAAGAACACGTGACACCATAGAAAACAGGCAGGATTTTAATGGAAAAGTCCCAATTTGAGCTGGGACACCAGGAATAGGGACTTTGGGTGACAAGTATCCACCCATTCTCCAGAGAGAGAGCTCATAAGTCAACCCTTAACCTCTATCGCTCCCCTTAGGTGTGATGTACAAGAGCAGAACAGATTCTTGTGGGGAGAAGAGATTTATCTAAGGAAAGGCACTAGTCAGGTGAAGGAAGCTGCAAGAGCCCCTCAGAGGGATGATCTGCAAGCAGATTGCTGCAGTTCATCTTCTGGATGGATGCTTGGTGAGCTGTAGAACTTTTCCCTCTCACTACCCAAGCTTAGCTGGAAAAATTCATGGGAGCTAGCACATCAGAGTTGGTGGGCCAAGGACACGTATGCGTCAAGCAGACACCTCTGGGAGGCGTTCAGAAGTTCCTGCACATAAGAACCTCTGTGAGGAATAGAGAAGAAAACCATGTGGGATGTGTGGCCATGAGACAGGAACTGAGGGGCCATTCATGAAAGGTCCACCAGGGAACACGTGACCACTGTCCAGGAAATGTCACATCAAAAGTCCCTGCTTACTAAAGAATGATTCTGCAACTTCCATAGCTTCTGGAAGTTTGATATGGGGAGTATTTAATAACCAAGAGGAAAGTGCAGATACCGCCTGCTAAGTAAAAGGAAAGCCCTGAGCGGTAAAAATAGGAAACGTCTATTGCTATTCCTCTCCTTCCCAGTCCCCGTCCCAACATGGCCCCTCAGTACCTTGACTTCCTCACATCCAGTGGTCTTTTTCTCTGCTCTACCTCAGCACCCAAAGCTGTGATCATACCCTAGCCCTGGTCTTTAATGGTAGCTGTACACTTTCCTTAATTGGTTTCAAACATGACTTCCTTCTGGCTCATTCTCAGAATATTCTGACCCCAACCACTCCTCAGCTCCAGAGGGTCCTCTAAGTGATTGAGCCTAACACATTTTCGCTGCCCACCACTCCCCCTCACCACCCCACCCCCCTGCACATCCCTCCTTGCTGGACTAGGCTTCATTCTCTATCATTAAAAATCACTCTCTTGGGCCGCCTGGGTGGCTCAGTTGGTTAAGTGTCTGACTCATGATTTCGGCTCAGATCATGATCTCAGGGTCCTGGGATTATGCCCCATGTGGGGCTCCACCCTTAGAGGGAATCTGCTTGAGACACTTTCTCTCCCTCTCTCCCTCTCTCCTTGCCCCTCCCCCTGCTCTCTCTCTCTCTCAAATAAAGAAGACTTTTTTTTTTTTTTTTTTTTATTCACTCCCTTACATTGTCTTCAACTCCCCTGCCCTTTTGAATATGGGTTTTACTGGAAAAGTAAGACTTCCAACCTTGGTTAATACCACATCTCTGCCAAACCCAAGCAGCTGAATAAGCTAGGAAACAAACGAATTACAATCATGCTGAATGTTTCTCTTTAGATTCGTGAGCAAAACCCTCAAAAGGGCCCTTGGTGCTGTCTGGCAATCCTACCACATTTCTCTAGTTAATTCACTCCCACTCTTTCACAATGACAATTTCAAACTACCTCCTCTCTCCTCCAACCTCTAAAATCCAGACCTTTTCTTCACTCCCTGCTGATACCTGTGCTTATTATTTCACTGAGAAATAGAAGCCTCTGAAGGGAAACTCAACATCCTGCTACCATCGCATTTACCAAGCTGTCCCATTCTTATGAACACGATGTCTATTCTTCTGAAAGCGATGTTTTCACTCTTATCTCAGGCAATCCCTTGGCTTAGGGTCTGGATCCTATCCACTCCTGTAATGATCCACTCTGTCCTCCAACACACATTTCCCCTCTCTGCTGGAATATTCGTATGTGTGCATTTTCAAAATGATAATCCATCTTAAATAAAACCTCCCTTGCTCCCCCCACCAACACCATTATGTACCTCCCTTCACAGCAAAACTCCTTGAGTTATCACTCTTTACTGTCTTCATTTCTCTTTGCCCATTCTCTTTAGAATTCATGCCAACAAGTCTTTCATCCACACTATTTGACTAAAATCTCTCCTGTTAAAGTCAGTAATGACTGCATTCATGCCAAATCCAGTTTAATTTTAATTTAATTAGGATATTAATAGGTGTCAGTGAGGGTAAAGCACCTCACAAAGGGCACCAAGACACAATCATAGCATCTTTGAAAGTAAGAGACTGATATCACTACAGCTAAAGACCAGACAAACTGTGCGCTAATTTCCTGGAATATAATTTCCCATAGATAGCAAATAGGTCCAAGAAAATCTCTAATAGTGACCAAATGCTGAGTGTTCACAGAATATATCATACATACATTTTAACAAAACACCTTCTGAAATCTGACCTGTTAATGTATTTCTGAGGTCACAGACGGACCCAGAAATCTCATCATTTAGTCCATGTATCAGTTTTGGTCAGTATTTACAATCTCACTGACATAGATACATATATTAACAATTTTCAGTGTGCAATAAAGAAACAATGCCATTTGTTCTAGTCAGTTCCTTTGGCTTCCTCTACACTTGTGATGTAGTAAAGGAAACATGAGGGAGAAAAGTGCCAGAATGAATAATGCTATGATAACTGGGCAAGACGGCCAAATGGCAAAATGATCTTCCAAGGGCAGAATTCCTTGATGGTTTGTAAAAGAAATGTTTCTTGACATAAAACAGTAACTTACGAGCGGAGATCATATACATATAAAATGTAGTCATTGGAAAATTTCTAGTAACATTCTTCAAACCCTTATTTTATAAAGAAGGAATTTCATGTCCAAGAGAAGCTGAGCCATCTCCAAAAAAAAA